AAAAAAAAAAAAAAAATGAAAACATATTGGAAACATCCCCAAATCAGTGATCTAGGGATGATATAGTGGTAATAGCTATAACTTCCACCCTGCTAGATATCTGATACACGGAGTTTGTATACTCTAAAATTGAGGCAGACATGCTACCACTGAGCTAAATCCCCAGCCCTGTGTTCTCTAAAATTGAAGAATGAATTTTAGGAACAACAACGGTTAAGAGTAGGAAATATGTGAGGGACAGACTTCTGCCTGAGGGACAGAAGGATACCAGGAAAGTGGGTTGCCAAGGACTCCACTTAAAGGGGGGTCCTTTTAGAGCAGAACCAGAAGGTAGGTACAAAGTAGGACAAACCTAACACAGAGCGATGAGACCCTTGAGCAGGCTAGTGAAAGCAAAGAGGTACAGACTATTCACCTGGGCAGAGGTGGACTGACAGCAAGCAAGAGGCTGTCTGCTCCAAACAAAGAAAAGGTAGAAAGCTTTACAGGGCATTGGAATAGAGGTCTTACATCCATGACATAGGGGTCAGAGCAAATATTTGTGGTCGGGTCCACACACCAATCAAAGCAGAGGTGTTCAGGTGACTTGGCATTTTAAAAGATGCTGTAGTAGCGGGGTGTGGTGATGCACCCCTATAATCCCAGCACTCGGGAGGCTGAGACAGGAGGATCACCATGATTTCGAGACCAGCCTAGGCTAGTGAGTTCCAGATCAGTTTCAACTACATAGTGAGACCCTTTCTCAAAAACAAAAAAAGCCCCCCCAAAATAAATAAAAATTAAATAAAAAGATGCTGTACTTTGTAGTTGTTATCTCTATGTTGGGAACATCCCATTCTAAATTCTGTGTTCTATCTGCTCCAAGATAGCACCTGAACTGGCTTGTTTTTGTTGTGGTTTCTTTTAAACTTTGCCAAACTGTAGCTTAGAATTAAAGAGCATATTCATTAACCATTTCATGACTAGGTCAAGCTCGACAAAAATAACCAGCCATCAAGGTTACAAGTATAGTTGCCTAAGTAATATTGATTCAGTGGGCAAACACATGCCAAGAACAAAGACCAAGTGGTTCCACTGCCTGCCTGGCAAGCTACAAGGTCCCAAGTCGAACCCCGGTATCAAAAAAATTTTTTTGTTGTTTTTGTTTTGAGACAGGATCTCACTATGTGGTTAGGACTGACCTGGAACTCACTATGTAGCCCAGGCTGGTCTCAAACTCACAGTGATCCTACTGCCTCAGCCTCCCCAGTGCTGGGATTACAGGCGTGAGCCACCACATCCAGCCTTTAAAAAAAATTTTTTTTTTTTAATTAAAATGAAACAAACGGGCCAGGGATTTAGCTCAGTGGTTCCACCACCTGCCTCTCAAGCACAAGGACTTGAGTTCAATCCCCAGTGCCAAAAAAAAAAAAACAAAGTCCTTTCCCAGGTCAGGAGATCTTGGTCCCCCCCTAACGTGACCGATACCTAGAGTATAAATCATTGTTCATCCCTTGGCAAAGTATAGTTATTTCATCTTTATATTGAAGCCTTGCCTTCAAGGAAAGTGCCTTCGGCCACAGTTGCAATGTTATCTTCTGCACTTACTTCTTCAAGACCTCTTCAAGGTCTAGCCCTGACAGCCTGTATTTTTCTTTTTGGGGGGTACCAGTGATCAAACTTGGGCCCTTGAAAAATAGGTGGTGGAACCACTGAGCCAAATCCCCAGCTGTAAGAGCCTGTATTTCTAACTTAGCTGTCTATATTTAACATTCAGCAGTGTAAAAGGAGCCAAGGGCAAATGCTGAGGCAGGAGGACTGCTTTTGCTTTGAGTTCTAGGCCAGCCTGGCCTGCCTATCCAGTGAGCTCAAGTCCAGCCAGGACTACATAGCAAGATCCTGTCTCAACTCAAAAATAAACAGCCAATTCCCTCTCTTTCATCCCTTTACCAAACACTGAAGAACTGTGTCCGAGTCCCCTCCAGTGTCAGGCACAGGGTCAGGCTAGTGTTTATTGGGCTGTTACAAACAGGCAAAATGGCCCAGGCCTTGGGGCCATTTAAAGACAGCAAAAAAGTGCCATCCATCTAAAAAGAGTAAATCCCAAATGCTCTTGAACTCCAAGGATCCAGAAGAGACCCCTGCTGGAACACAGCAGGTACCACCTACCTGGTCTCCATCAATACCTCAACATCATCAGGACAAGCCCTGTGGCCACAGGACGCATCTTTGGCACCAAGGGTGGGAGGACAGGGATAAAATTAAGGGGGAAAATGAAGTTCAAGTCCAAATGCTAAAAATAAAACATCATATAGAAACTACAGAACAATGTCTCTTATTGTTATTGTTTAGATCTAAAATGCCCTCAAGTCTTGTGCTCAGAGGTAGAATTTCTGAAAGGTGACAGAATTGTGGTCATGCTATATGTATCAAAGGGTTAGTTTATTAATGAGTGAGTTCTGTTAATGTGCTATTAAAAGATGGGGCCTGGTTGGGGAAGGTAGTCACTGGGGCTGCCTTTGGAGGATGTATCTCTTTGTGGCTCTTCCAGTTCTGCTTCCTGTCTGGCTTGAGTAGCTTTCCTCCTCCAGGCCCTTCCACCATGTCCTTTCTGACTTTCAGCCAGATGACTATGGACAAACCCTCTGAAAATGAGTACCAAATCAAACTGCAAGATGAGGGCTGGGGATTTAGCTCAGTGGTTCCACTGCCTGACTCACAAGCGCAAGGTTCTGAGTTCCATCCCGGTACTAAACAAAAAACAAAAAACAAAAAAACTCCAAGTTGTAAATGTCAGGTATTTTGTCCCAACAATGAGAAAGCTGACTTAATATACTTCAGCAAACTACATCTGCCAAAGTACAAAAAAGATTATGTATAAGGATCAAGTGGGGTTTATCCTAGGAAATGGTTGGTTCAACACAGAAAATCAATGTAACAAATCAAATTAATAAAATAAAGGATAAAACGGCAAGACTATTTCAAGATATGAAGAAAGCACTTGGAAAAGAACTTTAATACCTGAGTTAGGAGAGTTAACTCACAGGTAAAGCCTGGCATGCACAAGACCCAGGGCTCCATTCCCAACACCAGGGGTAGGGGTGTGTGTGGGTGTGTGTGTGTGTGTGTGTGTGTGTCCCAACACCCTTTCATAATTAAAAAAAAAAAAAAACTAGATAGGAGGAAACAGTATTAACCTGATAAAGCGTAAAACCCACATTTAATATACTTAGCAGTGAAAGGCTAAAAACTTTTCCCTTAAAGCAGGAAGACAAGGATGTCTGCTCTCACCAGTGCTATTCAACAGTGTACTTACAGACAATGCTGCCAAGAGAAAGGAACACGGAATCCAGCAGAAAGTAAAGCTGTCTGTCTCTGCAGATACTGAGTGTGTACAATAGCTAAAGAAAACATATGAACTAGAGCTGATAATGAGAAAATAGACTTCACTAAAATGCAAGACTTGTGGAAAAAAAGGGGACAAGTCAACCCACAGAATGAGAAAATGTTTGCAAATCATTTATCTGATAAGGACCTAGTATCTGGAATGTACAAAGAACTCTTCTTCCATTTCAATAAAAGACAAATGGGCAGGCAGATGTAACTCAGTATAGACTGTTGCCTAGCATGAGTGAGGCCCTGGATTCAATCTCGACTATAAATAAAAAAGACAAAAGGAGGGGGTAGTTTAGACAATCTTACAGATACTTGGCATCTATAGACAGATAAGGTCTGAAATCCCTCCCCAGTCTTGCCATTTCTATAAATTAATGCCTGGGCTACAACAGACTGTAACAGCCAAAATTATGATTTATGAAACCTGGCTACATGCTACTACATATGGTGCGATCATACAAATAGGTCAAAATTTTCAGGAAAACCAGGCAGTAATAATCAACCAAGAAACTATACTAGGATGACCTGGTACTCTGAAAGGAAGTGAATCTGAAACCTGACATTTAAAGGTGCTCCCCTCCTGTGGTCTTCAGGGTATCTGCATTTCAGAGAGCATTCCTATAAGCAGCTTTGAAAATATTATTTGTGTATCTAACCAAAATCTTTTGTTACTAGAGATCCAACCCAAGGCCTCACACTTACATACACACCTAGCCCTATTTTA